TTAATAAAGAAATACTCCGAAAAATTAAATCTCGACGTGAATTCGCTAATACCATCATGTGCCAAACCACCGAGGTTGTATGGGTTACCGAAGATACACAAACCAAACGCTCCACTACGTCCCATAGTGAGCCAGATCGATTCACCAACTTATAAGCTGGCACAATACTTAGCAAAAATACTATCACCACTAAGAGGACATACCAGAGCACACACAAAGGATTCATACCATTTTGTGAGTGAGATAAAAGACCTACATCTCGCTAACAATGAAACTATGGTCAGTTTTGATGTTCAGTCACTATTTACATGCCTACCTATTGTGGACTGCATCTCAATTGTAACTAGGAAGCTAGAAGAAAATAACATGCCTCAAGAATATGCAATACTACTTGAACATTGCCTCACATCTGGCTATCTATTGTGGAAGGAGGAGTTCTACAAGCAAGTAGATGGTGTGGCGATGGGCTCACCTGTGTCTCCCATAGTCGCCGACATATTCATGGAAGACTTTGAGGAGAAAGCCCTTCTTACTGCTCCTGTAAATCCAAGGTTCTACAAGCGGTACGTAGACGACACTTTCACAATTTTACCATCTGACAAAGTAACTGCATTTTTAGACCACCTTAACTCCATAAACTCTAAAATACAATTCACAATGGAGTTAGAGGCAAATAATTCTTTAGCTTTCCTAGATGTTTTAGTCATCCGAAATCCTGATAACACTATTGGTCACACTGTGTATAGGAAAAAGACCCATACCAACCGATATTTAAATGGTGAATCTCACCATCATCCTTCACAGTTAGCTACCGTGGGTAAATCTTTGTTTCAGAGAGCACGAGGGATCTGTGACAGAAAACATCTGGCCGCGGAGCTTCAGCACGTCAAGCAAGTATTGCAAGACAACAAGCTTCGGGTCCCGCGCCTACGTCACAGTGAACGAGTGAAGCCGGCCACAGTCGAGCGCGTGCCTGCTCTACTACCATATGTTAGAGGAGTCACGGACAAGATTGGCTACATCTTGAAGCGAGCGTCCATTAAGACATACTACAAGCCGCTGAAGAAGATTAGTCAATTTTTACCATCCATCAAATGTAATATTCCTCTACAAGATGCAGGTGTGTACAAGCTAGATTGTGAATGTGGTCTCTCTTACATAGGTCAAACAAAGAGATCTATAAAAACCCGCGTGAAGGAACATATAGCTGATGTGAAGCACCGACGCTCCGGGAAGTCTGCAGTCTGCGAACATGTTCAAGATCGTCCCCACCATTACATTAGATTTGATAAACCACAAATTCTCGCAAAAGAACACCGATTCCTACCAAGGATGATACGCGAGGCTATTGAAATTAAAAAAACATCCAAATTTCAATAGAGAAGATGGTTGGGTGCTACCATCTGCTTGGGATCCTATAATTAACAAAATTAAACCCAAACCCAAGCATACCACTGCAAGACTTCATGATACTATAAGCTCGTTTTGCGTAAATCGGACCAAAAATTAATATTAAAAAACTGAAGGTAGCCGGACTAACTATGACATTGGGACGTCAAACATCTCAGTCCCCCCCGTGACCATGGGCGCTGTAAAGCACCCGAAACGTCGGGATAATAATAAAAATAAATTAAAGTAATTAAACGCGAAAAAAATCCGTAAATAATAGTTTTATTCAATGCCTTCGAGAAGTTCCATTACATGAGCTGATGTCGGCTGAAATTAGTACGTCAAGTTACTTGACTTCTTTTGGGCCGTCAGTGGATGGTGTAGTTGTGAAAACTGACTACGCTAAGGAATTGCTGACGTTCTTCATACCTAATGATTTACAAGGGTTTACGAGTGTATCAGGAGTAAATAATTTCAAAGCTGACAAAAGAGCAGGAGATAGATTTTCGAAATAAGAGGCGGACAGAATAAATACGATCTATTATTTGGAGTAGTAACAAGTGAGGTGCTTTGGAAATTTTCGGCGCAGGATATACAAAACGGTTTCGAGGGGGAGAGAGACGTGACAAGATAATAAGGTACGTAGAATAATTGTTTGGCATTTAATTTGCAGTAAAATAGCGTTTTCTTATTTTCTTTTCTGTTTTTTATACTTTTTTATATCTACTTTGCTGTATTAACTCATTTAAATTAACTTAACCAAAATGAGCTAGAGATTGAAATGGGTAAATTAATTTTTAACGGTAAAGGTAAATAAAAGCCCTGGAAATCTTAAAAATATTAGCTTCGCAGCAGAGTAAGAGAAATCATTATCCCACATTACCCCTTGGGTGTCTTGACAAAGGAAAATAAAATATGAGATGAACAGGAGAATCTTCCTGATGATAATTAAAAAAAAATTGTGCATGTCAGTTCCGTCGCGTGACTGGAGTTTCCTACTTAAAATATATAGTAGGCGAAGGGACGTGTTAGAGCCATGCTGCAGTTATATTAGAAGTATAGTTGTAGCACGAATGGGTCGGCTCGACCGGGAAAGGACCACGTTCTCACAGAATACCAGCGTAAAATAGTAGCTTAGTGCTGCGTGTATTTCGCTGTGTGTTTCGTATGGTGGGTGTAGGGAACCAGAGACCTTTTTCACTGGAAACGAGGCATTCCATCATAGTCCTCACGGGTGACAACGCATATTATGCATTTTGATTTCTAATCGAGGATAGATCTAGATGTCTATGGGCCACAGCAACCACTTACCATCAGGTGGACTGTGTGCACTTTTGTCACCCTATCCTATAAAAAGGTAGTAAATGAACTCATGTATTCATTTATATTGATTTGATAAAAGGTATAACGTAAAAGATATGACTTATATCTTATTATTCATTTTGCACTAAGAGATGCGTGACTATGTTGCGCAGAGGAAAACCATAACGGTTTCACTTTTCGTTAACGCTTGATTTTATACTTCCCATCTATTTTTCATACTGTGAGCTAAATAATATGAAACGATTATGAATGATTGAACTCCAATAAACTCAAATAATTAAAACTGCTTTCGCCTATATCGGTTTGAGGGAGCAGTATAATACAAGCAAGCAAAGGAAAATAAAATCAATTTTTTGTATTTTACAATTCGTTTCATAATATTTTTCTCTCTCAGCTCGTAATAGTTCCCTACTAGACAAGAATGAGCTTTTTCTGCCATTTCCCAAAGTTATCGTATATGACACTCACAGGACATAACGAGGTATAGAAGTTACAAACGCTGCCACAACACGCGAGGCCTGTTTTTTAAAACAAGGTTACCGTATCTTAATAGAAGCCATTAGACCTTTCTGGCCTTAAACCTGAACGCCCCTTCCTAACGCGTGTCCACGGGACGAAAGTGAGTTTTGTTTACTCTCACGCTGCCACTAAACGGCATACTTTCATAATGAATACGATCACTATGATCATAATCATTATCATCATTATTATTATTATTACAGTCTTTCACAGGTCCATCGCTGAACTGTCTTTCCCAAAGATGGCACAAAACATGGTCCTCAGCGACCTGCATTTCTCAAGTTTAAATATTAGATTAATGATAATTAAGATTTTTTCTTTGGTATTCTATTATTTACGTTTGTTTAAAAACATATGTTATAAATGCTTACACATATCATTTAAGCGAAATATTCTTTACAATTGTCAACGAGTACAACGACTGGGAAAGAACTGTACAGGTACGAATCTTTTTTATTTTTATAACTATACATTTTATTTCTTAGATAACACTTGACGTTTTGCTTGGAATCCAAATTTTTTTAATTAATTAATTAATTCATTATACCCTAATCATAGGAAATAGATCCATAAATTGCATAAGAGGATACGTATCACAGTTGCCACAGTTTGCACGCGGTTAGCGGCCGTAGTTTTATTATTTAGGTTTAGGTTTAAGTTGTTATTTATTTCTCAAAAACAAATCGCTTACGAGAAATTAAAAATTTACAAACAATAATAAAGTAATCCATTACGAGCATACAGAATATTAACTATTGGTGTGGGTAAAACGTAAACAAATAAATAGGTTTAAACATCGGGCACAAATTGTAATATAATGACCGAACAATTAATGCAACCGAAACAGAAATAAGGGTGCGTACAAATGATTTAGATTTGGGTAATATTAGCTTGTATTTTTTTGGTTAATTTTCCAAAATATCGTGTTTCAATAAGTTTTTAAATAAAGACAATGTTTTTGATTATTTCATATTGATATAAAGCGTTATACAGTTTTGTACCATCAAACATTATATTTTTCTTACCATACTCTGTTCTAACTTTTTGTATGTATAAATATAAGGCACGTATAAGGTTACGATTGTGAAAATTATATTTTTTTAAACAATATTTGCGAATGAATGTCGTTTTTAAGTATTTTAAGTATTAATATGCAGTTCAGTTGTTATCAGGAAAATGCAGTTGGCTATTTTCTGTTTCATTTCCCTCTGCCGTCTATTATGACACCTACAGGATGACATGAGCTGGTAGATATTCTTACGCCACCACTTCAAGGCGTAAGAAAAACAGCACATAATTTATTTCTTTAACCATTTCTACAAACATGATGTATCGTAAACCTTTGATTAACTTAAAACAGTACGTAGATATTAAAAAGGACGTAACCGAGTATAAACAATACCTTTTAAGCACTCTTCATTCTATTTTGTTTAACAGCATCCAATAAATACAAGAGACGCAGCGGTGCTAACGCTCTCAGACGCTCAATATGTCGCTCCGCTTGTTCAGACTGGAGATTTTTTAAGTTCAACTGAGTTTGGTCCGAGTACATTTTTTTACGTCTTTGATTATCAAACTAAAGATGGAGATTATCCACAGGAAAGGTAAATATAAATATTAATTTAAAACCCACCATAAATGTGTTTATTTATTTTTAGATTTTAATTTTATATTCTTAATATCTACTAAACACTTATCACGTACTTTGATGGTACATGTATGTTATATTTTGTCCTCGTAATTAAAAAAATCCGTTAAAATTCTAGCGCATGGGTTCCGTGCATGGAGAAGAGCTGCCCTATTTATTCGGGGCACCGCTAGTTGAAGGTCTCGGACACTTTCCAAAGGATTATACAAAATCCGAAGTAGCACTTTCGGAGGCTTTCATCTTTTACATCGCGAATTTCGCTACAAATGGGTGAGTGCAGTGCTACGAAAAACCTAAACATATTTTTAGTATTCTTTTTTTTTAAAGAATTTTACTCGTTTGTGTTTGTGTCATACATACAGTAAACATTATACAGAAACATTTACAACTAGAGAATTACATACTAAGAATTTTGTTAAAACTCCGCGATTGAGAGATAGATTAATACCAATTAAGTCAGTGTTGTGAATAAGTGACGCTTTTTATAATATAATGTTCATAATATAATTTATGGCGGTGTATAAATATTGATTTAAGTTGAGATTTTGATGTTTAATTGGTGCGTAACCCTCTTACATCTGACTCTAACCCAATTATTAATGTTCAGTTCAAATCACAATTTTATAAATAACCACGTCCCATTTTTTTAAAAACATGAACAAACCTATCAATATAATTATTATAAAAATATTTTTAATAAAAACTTACATTAGCGTCAAGCGCAACTAAATATTTCATATGTTTTTCTGCCGAATGAAGGCCTCTCCATTTGAAGGAAATTCTCACAAACTTAACACTGCTGTCCATTGTCAAGGTATTTTATATCTGTGTTAATAATATGGTTACAACGTTATATGTTGGAAGATTTTTCTCGAATTTTACATTGGTGTCTCTTACGACACTCACGGGAAGTAATGAGGTAATGGATTCTGAAATAAGGCGACTTAAATTATGATGACTCAATTTTAACATATTTTCCTAAAACTATATATTTAAGTGATATTTTCGCACAAAACCCTAAAACATTCCATATTATGTGGGTACTGAAAGGAAAGAAAAACAAGAAATCTATACATATAATAAATCTGTCGAAAAGTCATGGCTGTAGTTCTAATATTTTTGAAAAAAAAATGTAATAAAGGGCACTTAGCCAAATTAGTGGTTTTTACATTTTGGTCTGTCTGTCTGTGTATTCAAGATTCAAAGGCTAACACTACTGAACATATTTCCATGAAATTTTGTGTGCAGGTAGTTAGGGACCCGGGGCTACTTATAAGCTTAAATATAAGTAGATTAAATATTGTTGTATTATATGGTTAATAAATTAAAAAAAAATTAAGGATAATGTTCAAAATTTTGTGATTATTTTGGTCCGTGCAATAATTAAATTATTTATAAAATTTTAATTTAATATTTAACCTTTAAGTACCGATGTGGGGCCTGTCAGGCCGAAGCAGGTAGTAATGTTGTTAGTATTATCCCTACCCCACCTAGGAGAAATCCCCGCCCCTAAGTAGCTGCAAGTTCAGTTGCACCGACGCCGGAGTAGTGGTATCCGGTGGACGCGATTGTGGTAAGTTATGTCAATTTAAAATTACGAAGCGGCCTCTCAGGCCCAGCGTCGGTACTTACGTTAGTTTTTTGTCTAAATGTGTTTTGAGTTGAAATGCTTATTTTCAGATAAATAGCTGCTGATTCGAAAAAATGAATACATCGAGGATGTCGAGTAGTAAACAACGAATATCTACAAATGAATAATGCCTATCTAAAAGATCTCGGCGCTCTATAAATCTTTTAGATAAAAATAGTGAGGTTTTGATCAAGGAACTGATTGCGGAAGATTCCAGTGGATCGGAAATAGATGACGTCGGAGATGATTTTATCCCAGAAGTTAGCGATCACGAGACAGAAACTGATACCGATTTATCTGATACTGAGGCCTCAACCCAGCAACCTCTTATTCAAATAGAAAATAGTCGCAGTTCCTCGTCGGAAGACGAAAACTTACCGCTTTCCAGGCTCAGTTCTTTTAGAGGCAAAAACAGATATAAGTAAGACCTCCAAACCGCTCATCAGTTAGAATCCCACAGCATAACATTATTTTACGAGTATTTATTTTACTTTCAACTTGACAGAAAATGAAGGCAAGGATCCCTTTTCTATATGAAAGATATAGATATGTTTTAGAAATTAACTAGGACTAATTCTAAATTATGGGAATATAGATCAAAATTTAGAAATCAAGATCGATCGGAGTTGCAAGATATAGACATTATTGAACTGCTAGCTTTCATTAGGCTTTTGATGTATACAGCGGTTTTCAAATCAAATCACGAAGACGCAGATTTTATTTTTGCTACGGATGGCACTGGAAGGGAGATTTTTCGCTGTGTAATGTCAAAGAATAGGTTTTTGTGTTTGTTACATTGCTTACGTTTTGATAATGCCGCCGACAGGGAACAAAGAAAAGAATCTGACAAATTAGCGGCAATATCTTTTATTTTTGATCGATTTGTCTCAAATTGCCAAAGAGTGTATAATATAAGCCAATACGCCACTGTAGATGAAATGCTAGTCCCTTTTAGGGGACGGTCTTTCTTGATGATTTACATGCCCAGTAAGCCGGCAAAATATGGACTAAAAGTAATGTGTTTGTGTGATACTGAAAACGGATATTTTTACAATGGTTATGTGTATTGTGGAAAGGGTTCAGATGGAGAAAGCCTGACAGAGGAAGAAAAGAAATTATTAGTTCCCACCCAAGCTGTGCTACGTTTGACGAGACCATTACAAGGCAGCAACAAAAATATCACATGTGATAATTGGTTTACCTCTATTCAGTTAATAAATTCTTTGAAACAGAGAGGACTTACATGCGTAGGCAAAAGAAATGTAAAGAAAAACAAAAGAGAAATCCCTCCTGAATTTTCACCGAATAAATCTAGACAAGAAGGTTCAACGTTGTACGGTTTTACAAAAGGGATAACGCTTATTTCCCATGTACCTAGGAAAAAAAAGCCGTGATATTAGCTTCCTCGATGCATCACGCTGAAGGAATTGATTATGAGTCAGGCAAACCTGAAATTATACAATTCTATAATTCCACAAACGGAGGAGTGGACGAAATAGATAAAAAGTGTTCGATATACACTTGTAGTCGCCGATCGAGACGCTGGCCTATGACACTTTTTTACCGGATTTTGGACATAAGTTCTGTAAATGCTCATATTTTACATGATGTGCATCTAAATAAAAAAAACTGAACGGGGTGTTTTTGTAAAACATTTAGCTCGTCAGCTCATATTAGAGCACATAAAGAGAAGGGTGTTTAACTTGCGCTTGCCTCGCGAACTTCGCATGAGTTTGGCTAGAATACTCGGGGCTGATATGCCATATAAAGTTCAAGGTCAAGTGAGTCAAGAAAAAACAAGAAAAATATGTGCATCTTGCCCACCTAAACTCAACAGAAAATCAACATATCAATGTTATTCATGCAATAAACACGTTTGTTAACAGTGTGCCAAGCATGTGTGTCCTGATTGTGAATAAGTAACTTTGCTGTTTGTCATTTTTTTATTTTTATGATTCCAGATATTTTTATTTTTTTTTTTTACTGATAGACATATCCCTTAAGTATAAGAAAAATTAAGATATTCTAGTTCCGAAGTAATATTTCTTTTTTTTAAGATTTTTATTTCGTTAAGTGTCCTATTGTAGTCACAAAATGGAGCCAAAGATTAAAAGACATAGTAATGTTAAATTTAATAAATAAGATTATTAATTTACTTCTTCCATTCATTTAAGAAACCTATATTATCAAAATAAATTAAAATTTAACCAAAATTGTAAACAATTTCTAAAAAAAACTGATTATTTGCATGCGGCCTCTCGGGCCCCACATCGGTACTTGCGGTACAAAAAAACCACGTCGGTACATAAAGGTTAATGTATTATGTTAAAATAAGGAAAAATTGAGAAATTGTTTTTCTTTAAGTTGTTTAAAAATGTCCACTACCATAAATAAAAAATAAAAAATATCTATAAAATAAGTAAGCAGTACGAATGCGCTAACAGCCGACTTCCTGTTTCACATCGTTCGGTATCCAAGCAGAATAGAAAATTATTATTTTGAGCGAAGTTTGATTACGGTTGAGCTACCTTAGCTTTGAAATAAAACAAAGTTATTTGTTTCTGCTTTGACAGAGCATTCATGAATATGCATTATTTTAATTGGTCTAAAACGCGCCAATAAGATCAAAATAATCTTACAGCATTTTTTTATGTGCCTTTCTTTAATTTTTATTATTTATTTAAATTTAATTTAATAAAACATTCTTAAATCAACTTTTATGTAAAGATTATTTTTATCTACTTTCCGGCCCTATGTTATCTTGCCACTTCTCTGGTGTATAGTGTATTATCTATGGCCACTACCCTGTTTTAAGAGTGTTATATTATTTGATAACACTTTGTATTATATTGTCTTTCATGATATTTAATTTATGAGTTGAAAGAAAAAGAAAATTATTCGTTTTATTTTAAATTTTAATGAATGAAACATTCTTAAAACATCTTTTATACAAGGCATATTTGCGTTCATTGGGAATAACGTCAAAAATGCGCTATTAGAAAACTCGCGCCTTAACCATACTTCGTCCATAGAGAAATATCTTCTAGCATAAACGTCGACCCAATTTCGTAGTACTGCCTTGAAAGTAATAAAATTTTAAAAACACTGATTAAGATATTACTTTCGGGGATGTATTCCTTGCTTAGAGTGAAATGGCTAAGGCGAATAAGTGGAAAAATTAAGATTCGTACAACGAAATAAGTTGTAGTATATATATATATATGTTGAAGTTATAGAGTAATTGGCGTAGTAATAGAAAATAATCTTTAACTTGGGCATACTAGAGTGGATATAGTCAGGTAGTAGGGGTGACCGAAGGAAAACGGGACAGGAAATGGATAACAGCATATTCTTAATAACAATTTAAAAAATAATGCGGTTAAGAAATCGCTTGCCACACGTGGCAAATATGGCGACGCCGTTATTACCAGTATTTGGGGAAGGCCTATGCTCAACCTAAATTGACGTTGATAGGCGCAAGCGTTGATAGGTTATCATACTAGATTATAGAGACATACACCGTAACCTTTATAAGTCTTTCATAGTAGGAATAATTCTATGTAATGGGAATACATTAAGCCTATATAAATTATATTATTTTACTTCTCTATACATTAATTAGTTAATTAAGTATACATTTCGTAACTTTATTAAGAAGCTACTAAAGTAGTCGTTTTTTTATAATTTTAATTATATATGTTTAATAGGAATCCCAACGAAGTTCAGCTTCAAGAATCTGTACTACCTATATCGAGAGAGCGCAATAAATTTAAGAGCATACTTTGGGATGAATATAATATTTTGCATCAAAAATATTTAGAAATAGGTAAGGTAATACAAGTTATACTTAAATTACACACTGATAATACTACTAACATACTGATATTTGATAACAACATAATTAAAATTGTTAACATGTAAAATAATTTCTACTAACGTTTTCGACATAATGTAGTAAACCTTTTAAAATATTCCTCTTAGAGTACTTTTATGATATTTTTTAAACAAATTGAAAAATTCTATATTATACTATTTTTAACTAGCAAAACTTCGTTTGATCGATATTTACGCATTAGTTATGAAAAAAATTATAACAGGTATGAAACCAGTCATGAAAAACCACTACCGTACTCATCAGCTTTCAGTATGGCTACGGCTTATACCTGAAATTCATAGGGCTGAGATGAGGGACGTCGTAGCAAAATACAACTTCTTTCGTAACCATAACGACCCGGAATTGTACGATGGATTAGTGCGACCAGATCCTTTGATGCGTCCCAGCTACTACGATCCAACACTCGAACTTTATCGCAAACCTTACAACGTAACCCTTGATATTCCATCAACAATAATGGAAACTTATGTTACGACTTGCATAAGTGTTATGTCTGCAAGACCGGGTTCTGCAGTCACACAAAATCAAGCTCCAAATAATTCTCAAGATGCGTCGAATTTAGAAGCAGCAGGATATACCGCTTACTCTACTGCTTTAAGTATTACCATCGCAATTGGGTGTTCTTTGTTAATATTAAATGTCTTAATTATTGCTGGAGTTTATTATTAAAGGGACAAAACTAGGCTCCAAGTTAAGGCACTTCAACAGCAACAAAAGAGGAATCACATTTCTACATTTGACAGTGTTTCGTCAAAACATCCTCATTACTTTGTAGGCCATTCACAAAGTTCAAGTACAATTGTAGATATAGACCATCAAGCAAAAAATGCTATAATAGCGCTAACAAATCGTGTTCCACATTTTCGAGTTCAAACTGTCCAAATGTTTGCCACACGGGTATGCAAATGACGAATCTAACTCAAAAAAATAGTTCACCCACAAATCGCGGTCAGCCAACCAACCAACATTGCCAAGAAAAGTTGGTTTTAGTTACTAGCAGAACCAGATTTGTAATCCTTCTAATTGCATGACATTGCCGAAGAATGCAATAATCATGAGCGCAAACAATTTGCCTGACGTTCAAGCTCAAACAGGCCAAACACAAAAGCCTGGTAACGGATCGGTGCTACATTCTTCACCGCCTTCACAACATTTTTCACAGAAGCCGAGAGTTCCTCAAGCTGCGATGTCGGAAATGAATGTATGAGAAATGGAAGATATTTACAATTATGTATAAAAGTGAAATTTGTAGTGAAAATGACACTAGTGCATGATTGTAAATATCAAAATATAAAAGTGTAAATAGACTGTACTGTTAAAATAGACAGGCATTATGTTTTATCTTATAGAAAATATAAATAAACTATAACTATATTCGTGTTAAATGTAAATAAAAGACCTTAACATTACCATTTTTAAATGGATAGAACAAAAACAGTGGCCAATTAAATCAAACTGCTCACAGACAGCAAACAAATTACAAGTAAACCATGATATAACATAATATTATAATTGAATTTAAAGTTATGTTGAATTCAAATATTTAAGGATGAGTCATTTTTAATGACTACATTGTAAATAATTTAAAATTTCAAAGACTGTACTTATATTTTTACGATTATCTTACAGTGGTTTGATATAAGATAATAGGTTATTATTTAGTTATGGCTGATGGTCATTTGAATTATATCTTTAAGATATTCGTATTGATAAGATGAATTTTTTAAGATGAATCCATAGAACTGTTATGATATTTTCAATTTTATTACAGACAAGTGCTTCCTGATTTATTATTATAGTTTCCAATACTATAGCGAACACTAAAGTTATTTAAATATTTTAATCTCAGAAAATTTGAGAGTAAAAATAATAAAATCTTACTAGCATTGATTGTTGTTTAGGTTGTTCTCTGTAAGTCGTTAATTGATTCTTTAATTTGCATTAACGAGCTGCGATTTTTATGTCTGCTAAAATTTTAACGTAATTTATTTTACTACAATATTTATTGTTCTATTTTAAGTAAAAACAACTCACGTCATCAATCACATGTATCGTTTATATTGATACCATGTTACCTAACCGTTATTATGAATCTTATGATAAGTATCAAATTTAAATATAACGCAAAATAAATTTCGTGACAATGATCAATAGCATTTTTATTAAAACTAAAAAATAAATAATTCGGCTTATATTTTTTTAAAGTTTTTATATAAACACACATAACATAAGGAAATTGTCAATATACAGCTAAACGGGTTTGTCCCATTAGTGCCGGCATATACTTAGGCTAAGAGGAAAGGTTGTGTCCACCAGTTAATTTTTTATGTACTGATATTAAGAGTATGCAAAATCTCAAAAGAAAAATGAAGATGAGTATTAGGTACAAACACTAAATTTTTATTATTAATTGTAGTGATGAGTTGAAGTAACATCATTTTATTTTCTTTAAAAAAACGATACCCACAGAATTTTTTACTGATTATGATATAAATCAGTTTGATACATGTATTACACAAGAGCAAACATCCAGACCCCGTACAATTATTTGTAGGCCATACATATACTTGTTCTGTAAGAAATTAAAACCGGGGCTTTTATCACCCCAACTTAATACTAAATCAGTCAAGCCTAATCACAATAAACTAACTCTAAAGTAGATTTAAAAAGGTATTAAAGTATTTCTTAGCCTCCCATACATATACTAGTATGTATAACAATATATTATAGTGGTGCATACCATTTCTAATATACCAGATGTCAGCGAGAAACGTTCAAAGAGCAAGACATCTGCTATTATGATCAGAGATACAGATGCGATCTGTAGGGAAATCTAGCACTAATTGTGCATATAATGTTATGCGCTTTGTCTGGTTTACTAAGAAACTTAATTAAACCATAATATCTATATATATGAATATAATGAACTTTTATAATTCACTTTTCATTCATTTCAGGAGGTCTGAATAACGTAATTTTGCAGACATTTTAAGAACCGAGGAAAGTAATATAATAACATCTAATTATATCATGATCATCATTATGATAACATCTAATAGTATTCTCACCAGGATCATCACGTCTCAAAATAAATGCAAGCTGTTATAGTATTCCTAAACTCTAATTATTCGTTTAATTTGCTTTCAAGTTTACTTTTTAAATAATTGAAAATATTATTACATAAAACCTCTTCCTACTTCTCTATTATAAAAAATCAAGAGAATTCTTTATGTGTTATGATAAAAGGTATGACCTTGTCCCTTTTAAAAGTGTAAAGAGCTTTTTAGCTGTTAAGGATCCCGAACGTTTTCTTTATAAAATGTACCCTTGTCACTTATATTTTGCTCTAGTAATATGACGTGGAATGTTATTTTTTTAACTTACTTCAAGAAATGAGGAGTTACTCAATTCCACTGAATATTTTTTTATGTGTTAGCTCAGAACTTTTTTCTAGGTGAACCGCTTTTGATAATTCTTTTTTATTTAAAAGCTGAGATGCCTTTCATGTAGTTCAGAATAGAATTAAGTGTCTTTGTCTTTATTATCTTCACTCTTTTTCGTTCATCCTTTATCTAATTGAATGTATATTCTTATAGTTTTTAATGAACATATTCGCATTATCAAAAAAAAAAAACTCAGCAAAAAGCAATGCCAACTATTAATTTTATAAAATTAATAATATAAAAATAAGTCAACAGAGTAGTTTCCAAAATATCGAAAGTGTTTATTATGATCTCACTAAGACTTTATTGTGTGCACCCTGAAAACGAACTAGAAAATTTTATTATTTTAGGGCTCCTAATAATTGTGATAATGTCCTGTATACCGAATTTTCGTCCCTGAAGCCAGTCTCAACGAAAACTAGACCGAGACAAAGGGACGAAATACAGCCAACTTCCTTACCCCGGGCTGCTATCGAAAATTTTGTGATAAAAAAACTCAACTACTGAGTCATATTCGAACCCCAAACAATTCCATCCGAATGAAACCTGCGATAAGGTTTTTTGTAGAGCTCGATGCTGGATCATTCTACATTTTAATACTACGTTACTGATCTGTGCTAAAAAACGCAGATAATAAGATGAATCTACACAACAGGTCACAGATTACAGCCCCTCACCGCGTCCGTCTGTATTTAAGTTTGCTTTCAGAAACAAATGTAGAGATTTTCATTCTATTTTCATTATTTGACGAACTGATTCTCGAGAAAGTCTCTGGTTTCGACTATCTTCGTGCTGCTAACCTATGCGGCTCTTACAGCTTCGTAGGACTCGGGTCTTTTAAAAAAGTGAATTCATATATTCCGCATCGTTACTTACGTAACGATGACGCCTCTGACAGTGTACAGTACACGTAGAAGAGTTATCTAATGTTCGTCCGAATAGAAGTAGAGAGCCCCGTTTCCGACAGCTAACTCATGTCGTTCGATAATCTGCACGAATAAGAAACTAAGTGTTACCAGCTGGAAACCGGAGTTGATCTCAAGGTCGGTCTATTACTAATTTACTTACTACAAATAGGTAAGTTATGCTTATTTTAATATGCGTAAAATGTCCAAAACATAAGCCAATTCATGGACCTATAAAAAAGGATAAATAGAGTCTCTCTAAAAAACAATTGACGCACCGCAATGGCGGCCGCGTAACTATGTGTGAGTAACTATGCGAGCGCGGCTTGGAGCGTAATGGCGGGTGATAGACTTACTATGGTGTGCATGTGTGCGTGTTGGCTTGTTTGTATTAGCCGAATTGTTTTAAGAGACGGCGTCCGCCCTTTTTTCTATGTCCATGAACCAAGTACACAAAATCCAATAATACACAGTAACGTACGTACGAGTGAGCGCAAGAGTAAACGTTCGATGTCTCGACGATGACTAAGAAAAAAGCGCATTCTTACGCTTCGCATACACTTAATCCATCATCGGCCGAAGTTTGCTCGGGTGATGACCACCGAACTTGGACGATCGAATCAAATCCTATACCTTTAAACGAGTAATTCTTGTATATATATATATATATATATATATATATATATATATATTATTTTTTTTTATTTATATATATACTTGGTCACAAAATGGTAATACCATGGTTCGAGCCCAAACCGACCGACCGACTTTTTTTTTTCAAGTTCCTTTCTTTTTTTGAGAAAATCTATTTTTTCGAGCCCTTTTTTTTAGTATTTTTTTTAAAAACACGAAAATTTAAATTAAACTAATTGCACTCATGATTTTTTATTCAAATAACCAGTTCAGTTTTTTCTATTATGTCGCTAAGATCAAAAAATATTATTCGTATTTCATCAGTATGTAATTTGTGTCTAAATATAATTTCCAAAACACACGAATTAAATAAATCGAGCGAAAAATACCGAGAAAAGCTCGGTCAACCGGGTACTACTTATAAAACAAAGAGCACTTACACAAACGCGACCGTCATCGTTCGATAACGCACGAAAACGGCCGATCAACCGTTGAATCCGAACTTGTTGGGATTTCTCGCCCGACTTCCCGCGTCTACAGTGCAAATTGAGTGTATTTACAGTTTAATTTAATCATTCTGTCTTTAGTCTGTTGTTTCTGTCAGTGAAGTTATCTATCTAAACGACTATGGATATTGAAAATAAAAAAATAGAAAAGAATACCGGCAACGTCCAATGTCAACTAGTGG